CACACACACACACACACACACACACACACTTTGCACCTGGCAAATGCCTCAGGGGCCCCACCTAGTTCTGGCCTTGCTCACAGTCTCTGTCCTGCAGAACCATCAGGTTCTTTGTAGGGCGAGTAGGAGTCTCACCTGTGACCCAGTGCATTTTTTGAGAGGCCATTTGTTCTTCACCAACCTCAAAAATCTCTTTATTTAAATCTTCGAGTGAGGGAGGAGGAAGTAGAGGGGGGAGGGGAGAAATGTTTCAAAAGCAAAGAAAACAACAAGGAGGAAGTGTCCATTGCTCAATGAACCTTCAAGTGTGAAAGGCTAATCCAGAATCACTCAGTAATCACCACCATGAGATCAGACTGGGTGGCATCTCCTATTACGTACACACTCTCCTCACTCACCTCCCACAAAGCCTTGTTTCCTGAACCAAAATGACCTCCTGAAAACTGCCACTCTGCCTTCACGCTTGGCCCCATGCCCCTCCTGTGCCACAGCCTCCACACACCATTAGCTGCCTTCCAAAGTCCCCAACAGCGTCTCATTCAGAGAAGTATGCTTTTCCTGTTTTCAAGAGAAAGGCACTGACCCGTGCACCCAGTAAACAGAAACTCAAGTGCAGAGGGCTGTGCGAAGTTCCAAGGCCTGTATGTGTTGCACTGGAGAGTTGGACAAAAGAGTTTCAGTGCCTGGAGCTCAGCTGCACACAATGTCCAGAACAGTGCTCATGGGGCCGTCCTGCTCAAGGAACAGTGTTGAAAGAGTCACTACATTTTAAGGTATTTGGCTGACAATCAAATAGCATGTTACCAGGTCAGAGGCTTTTGTGGATTGGTAAATTTTTAAGAAGAAGAAATTGATCTAAAAGTAAGGCACCATTTTCCTCCATGGATCTCTTGTGGAGTTCGGCTTGGCTTCAACTGGCTTCAGAAAGTCTCTGTCTGGAGGGTGGGCATGCTCCTCCCTGGGTACCCATTTTCCCATCAGTACCACAGCATCCACGTGAGCTTAGAGAGTCATCCTCCCTCTCTGGCCTTTCCCACTTTTACATGGCCCCTCCCTCCATGATTGGTGGCAAGAGGGGAAAGAAGTAGAAGGGGAGAGAGTGCAGATCCAGGAGATACCGGGAAGCCAGAAAGCTCAGTGGAGTGGCCAAAGGTTCTTGAAACAGACCCTTCAAGGGAGCATATTAGTGTTTGCTGACTCTGTAGGATTCTTTTCATTTTTCTCCAGCCCTGAAGATCTGGCTGTTGTTCTCTGTATCATTACATCTGTTCTTCTGCTTGGGTTTCTTTACCCCTTTCAGAAGCCTGAAGAATAGGGCGATTCCTCACAGTGCGTGGTATTTCACAAAAAATATAAAAATATTTTTTCCAAAGTATTTTAACTGCTAGTGACTAAAGGAAAAGAGAGTATATTGCAACACAAATAATTTAAAAATTCCAATTAACAAGGATTTTTAAAAAAACGAGATGTCATTGTTTTAGTGATCCTTGATCATGTTTGAAGAATGAAAAGGGCAGAGGGTACTAATGCATATAGGACAGTGATCCATGCACACAAGAACAGAAAGTCACAGCAGAAATAGATATGTAGAATTATTTAATAGCATAAATTTAATAATGACAAATGCAAATTAGAAAATAATTTCAATATCACTCGTGGGGTTTTTTGACAGTACTGGGTTTAAACTCAGGGCCTGGCCATTGCTAGCCAGGTGCTCTGTCACTGGAGTAATATCCTCAGCACTTTTTGCTTTAGTCATTTTTCTAATAAGGCCTCACATTTATGCCTGGCTGACCTGGATCAAGATCCTCTATTTACACTTCCTGTGTAGGTAGGATGACAGGCCCATGCCACTGTGTCCAGCTTTTATTGGTTGAGATGAGGTTTTGTGAACTGTTTGCCTGGGTCAACCTTCAACTATGATGCTCCTGATCTCTGCCTCCCAAGTGGTTAGGGTTTCAGATGTGAGCTACAGCGCTCGGCTCACTAGTGTTCCTTAATCATCATGAACGAAACATATGGTTCCCAGTGACACTTCATGTTTCCAAATTGTTTTTTCCTTTTCTACTTCCCTCATCTACTTCAGCGTCTACTATACATTCTCCCTTGATGCCCCATTTCCCCTCAAATAAATTCCTTAAATATCCTGAGACCAGGAGCTTTTTTATCTCATATAAATTTTATATAAAGGAACTGACTCCTTCCTTCCTAGATTTTGCTCTTTCCTACAGAATTTCTCACCAAACATCACCATTGCCATCTCCACCACCAAAACACAGGTCTGGGAGGACAGAAGCCTCCTCAAAAGATATTGGGGAGGAAGAAGTCTGCCTGGCAAACTGGGAGGCACAGGTTAGAGTGTCCTTAATAGGTACTGGAGGAGAACAGGTACAGAAACACTTACTTGCTCCCATGTTTACGTATGCACAAGAACTGGGCCTGATTTGCCATAGTCCCCAACTTAATCCACCACCGCTGCATTTTGGTCTAAAACAAGCCCCCTCTTGGGGTGGGCAGTTCTCATCATGAGTGCTATTTCTCCTTAATCTGATACTGAATAGTAGCTCTGGGACTTGCCCATCTACCAGTTCTCAAGACCCAACTCCTAGTGCAGACCTTTCCATTGGGAATTCTGGGTCTTTCATTGCATTTTGGAATTATTGCTGTAATGATAATAATGATGATGTTGAGGATGACTACAGCTAGTTTTAATAGGGCACTTTGTCTACTCTGATTTCCAACTTGCTGCAAAACTTAGTAACTCAAAATAGTACACACTTGTTATCTCCTAGTTTCTGTGGGTCAGGAATGTAGGCATGACTTAAATGGATCCTCTATTTTAGGTTATTCAATGAAAGTTGCTGGGGTATAGTCACTTCAAGGCTCAATTGCACAAGTTTTTGATCCCCAGTTCCCATGTTTGTTGACAGGATGCAGTTCCACATGGGCTGAAGGACCATGGGCCTCTGTTCTTCATTGACTGTTAGCTAGAGGTGCCCTCAGTTCTTTGCCACACAGGTCTCTCCAATATGGCAGCCTTCTTCTTCAAAGGTTGTAAGCCAAGGAAGCAATAAAGAGAGTTGTCTAGCAAGAGAGAAGTCACCATTTTTTGTAACCTAATGGTGGAAGGGACACTTCATCATCTCTGCTATAAACTATTTGTTAGAATAAAGTCACTAGGTCCAGCCCACACTCAAAGGGAGGGAATTACTTACACTTGAATACGGATGCCAGATGGTGAGGCTCATTAGGTTTATCTTAGAAACTTGATTATCTGAAGACTAGTTGGGGGAAGAAGGGAAAAAGCATTGTTTTAGAATTGTAAAGATAATAAAGTCTAGAAGACAGAAGTAGCTCAGGGTTGGAATTGAAGCTAATAGAAATATGGATTGTGGGGGAGGGGATATGGAAGTACCTTATATTGTTTTTGATCTATGGTGTCTTCTTTGTCTTAGCCTCAACATGAAGGCAGAGCTAAGGAGATAGTGCCTGTGATGCTGAAGTGTGTGCATGGAACTACAATGACACTGCACAAACCATTGCTTTTCCCATTGGGAAAGCAAGTGGAAAGCAGTGGCGATGGAGTACTGGGGTAGAAAGACAAGCAAAGAGAAGCTGCAGAAAACCTTTCTGGGCAAAAAGTGACTCAGAGCCCCTCTGGGAAGGAAACTTTGGGGAGGGATACACGAAAGTGTCAAATAAAAGAGGAAAGGATATGGGCATGAGCCAGATCTGGAATAAGGTGTCTATAACCAAAAACTGTCTAGAGGAAGGAAACAAAATTCCATAGAGAGCATAGAAGGCTCATGCTGGGAAGATTTTTAAGGCAATGCTATATAAAGCAGAGATACAGTGAGAGGACATGGAACATTTCTTAGCAAAATCTACTAAAATCAATTTCTTTAATACATATTTTAAGGGGAAGACTGCAGGACTTTTCAGAGACTTTACCATGCTAGGGTGTTCTGTGAAGCTCTGTGTAGGGGGGAGATGGAGCTGTCTTAGGCAGCGCTTCTGACAAATGCTTGCTTGTTTGGCATGGTGGTGGTGACATGATATATCCTTTGGGTGATGCTCTGTTTTCAAATGCTTATGGCCTTATATGAGAACAGAAAGGATGGGACCAGGCTCAAATATTGTTAGTGAGTCAGGAATGGTGGCCAGTGCTTGAGCAATATGGAACAAAATATTCAACAAACATCTACGTGTTGACCAGAAGTGATGAGCAACATGTGGATCCCAGCAATGGGAAGGATTCAAAGCCAGCATCAGAATAGAAGTGACTAGATGGTCCTCTTTTACAACCAATCCTCAGGAACCCCTCTCCCCTGATCCTCAAGACTCTGTGTCCCACAGTCATCTCTCCAGCTCTCTCCTTCTCCTGTAAAGCTCTTCTTGTCAACAGAAGGAACCAAGGAGTTCACACCCTGACTTTCCTCTTGGAAAATTGTTCAGTATTAGAGTTTGGAGGCAATAATAGGTGGTTCATCGAGAAAGGCAAGACCCTGATGGTAAGAGCCTCTTAAAGAAATGCCTTGTGAAGACAGAAGGAGGAAAAGAAATCAGGAAAGGATTCCTTGCCAAACCACAAAGGAAGTAGTTCTTCCAGAAATGCTCATTTCCCTAGCTTTTAGTGGGAAGTTACCCACAGTAGGGATTCAGAGACCAGTGCCTTTTGAATCATAAGATGAGGGACCCCTCCTCAATGCCTAGGAGCTACTGAGAGTCCCAACCACCAACGAGGAAGAGTGAATTGGCTACCTGCAGCCACCTCTTCCTGCAGGACACACCATTGGGCTTCTGGTTCACTCTGCAAGGATGTTACAGTGACTTTCAATGGTTAATGAATAGCTTCTCAGTGCCTGCTTTATTTAGTTGTCCAAAGGCCATTTGGTCCCTAGGTGTATAAGGCTGCCAGGTGGCTAATGAGCACACTCTCCTTGAGGAAGCCTGGAAGCAGAGGGGTGGCAGGGTCAGGGCACAGGTTCTGAGGAGCAAGGATGCAGAGCCGAGCTGGCCTCATTCTTTGTGCTCTGGCCATGCTGACTGGCTTCTTGATGATCTGCCTCGGGTCCTTCTTCATCTCCTCCAACTCCATAGTCCATTGTCAGAGGAACCTGATTGTGGCATACTTACTTCTGCCTCTAGGGTTTGTGATCCTTCTGAGTGGAGTTTTCTGGTGCATCTACTACCACGTGAGTGAAAGCAAAGAGATGTTCAGCCATATGCTCAGGCGACACCTTGCTCACAGGGACCTGCCCCTGGCCACGGTGGACAGGTATGTGCTGAGGGCCAGAGGGAACGTGAGGGGCTGAGATGGGCCATGGTGCAGAAATCCTACAGTGGAGTCACTTTCCCATCCCACGGAGTTATGTATCTAGAACCAAAACTCTACCATTGAGTCATTACTCTGGGGTTGGTCTTTAGGAAGAATGGGGCTGCCTTGGGGAAGACCATGAGGTCAGGGAAGTTTCCCTAGAGAAACACTATCACTATTGTCACCAACAGTAAAAGCCCATCTAAGCCAACTTAAGAGGCTCAGCTTCTAGGTTCTTTGGTTATGTTGCCATTAGTAGAGACAGGTAATGACTAGTTGGTAACCAAGTTATAAGGGAAAGTAATTCCCAGACCAAATTCTGTCCACAACAAATGAGTAAGCAGACATAAAATCAGGCCTATAACCTCTGTTACTAAGAGAAGTCCCAGCTGACTCTCCCTTTAGGTGTTCTGATCTCATCTTGTGTGAAAGTGCCATTCAAGGCAAGATGAATAAACAAAATACTGTGTACCCACACACAATGGAATATTACTCAACCTTAAAAAGGAATGAAATCCTGACACATGCTTGACGAATCTTGAAAACATTATGCTAAGTGAAATTAGCCAATAAAGGATAATTGTTGTATGATTCCACTTATATGAAGTAGCTAGAGGAGTCAAATTCATAGAGACAGGGGATACAACAGCAGTTGCCAGGACTTGGGGAGGGGAGAATGAACAGTTATTGTTTAATAAATATAGACTTTCGGTTTGGGGGATGGAAAGTTCTGGTGATGGTTGCATAACAGTATGAGTGTACTGAATGGACATGAGTTGTACACTTAAGATAGCAAATTTTATGTATATATATATATATATATATCTTATCGTAAAGAAAAAAGATTCTGTTAACCTTATAGTCAGTTAGCGAACCATAAACCTCCTAATTCATGGCCAAATACAGGACTATTTAGGATAAAATCTCAGGCATTATTTTGAAAGGAATTCATAAATTCTTTTGCACTCTTCATGCAAGAGTAAGAGTACCTAAAATGTTTTAGCTATTCCATGTGCTTTGAATGTTGGTAATCCACCCATAACACTACATCGTGATGTCCATATGCTAATTACCAAGATCCTAATTACAACAACCACAGGTGTTTCTAATGTTTACTGGAAACTCAGCAAGGCCTTTGGGATTGATTAAAAATTAAGATAACTGTATCGATTATAAAAGGTGCTTCTAGAGTGATAATTTGTGTGTCTGTGTGTATATGTATGGGTATAGATGTCTACCTCCAGAGTGTGAATTTCTGATCATGGTAACTGAGTGCCTTTAGGATGCAGCTTAAATTTACTTCAAGTAAATACTTGAAGGTAAATAATGGCTATCATGACACCTGATTTTACTGCCTCTTCCTGCTGTACTCTGAGATGCTCAACCCAAACAGAATGACCAGCAAGTCAGACTGGGAAGTTGCTTTTCTCAGAAGCTTTGTACTCAAAATAGGTATCAGACAGTGGTATCAAACAAGTGTGTTCCCATTGGTGGGACTCAGGGTCCTGGGAATGTGAATGGCAGTGGGGGAGGGCAGAATTGGGAGAGGGGGCGGGATTTGGGGGCTGGCAGTCATCGGGGGAGACTTTCCAGCTGCTCCAGGGAACAGCTCACCTTTCTGTCCACAGTGTCTTTACACATCTGTCCCATGACTCAACCTTGGCCACTCCACATGAGTTTATGTCATACAGTAGACAGCTCCTTCAGCTATTTGGCTCTGGGCCTGGTAACATTTGGAATGGGGCTGTGGTGACAAATGGCAATCCCGGCTGTGTTGTGGTTACACACCACAAACAGTCCCTGTAGGCACTGGATGGACTCCCTGTATAAATACACAACTCAACTAAGCTCACTCTGTCCATCTTCCTCACCTGCACTCACCCCCAAGTGCATTCATGATGAAACAGCTCGTAGCAATTAGTCATGTTGGGCCAGATGACCAACAGGTACAGCCCTGGCATGAGGCTCTCCTGTAAGCACAGGCCCGAAGGCACAGAATGGCTGCATGAAGTTCTCTTTGAACCCATGTGAGAAATGAGCATGGCCATGTGCCTTCTTGCAAACTAGCTGTTGAGACTTGAAAGGCAGTCAGGAGAAACTGGCACCTGCTATAGTTAGGGGCCTGCACATAGTTGGCTTTCATTCATTATTTTGTTAGTTGTGAAGATCAGAGACCCTGAGAGCAGTGGAGTAGAAGACGACTTGTGTGGATGGGAACCAGGTTGAGAACGGACTGAGTAGCGGGGAGAGAGGTTCCATAGCCAAAGAGCCCCTTGTCCCTACTATGTATCCCACACTGAATGGGCTTTTCCAGGAGTGAAGGAGAAAGAAAAAAGAAACAACCTGGAATACAAGCTGGAAAAAAACAGGACTAGAGCCATGCAAGCTTTGACTGATAAGGGATTTTCTGGAAGGGTGCACATTCTTTAGAAACTGGTAATGCCAGGGAAGAAGTACATCTGTTTCAAAAATCAGTGTTTCTTACAGTTTAACTTCACACCCTGAGTAGAGAGAAGCAGACATATGCCTCTCTGGCATCACCTCCTAAATAACACATGTGTGTTTGTGGCACTTTGTCCCATAGGCCAGACTTTTACCCTCCGGCTTATGAAGAGATCCTTGATGCTGAGAAACAGACCTGTCCTGAAGAGGGAGAGGCCTTGGACATTCCTCCACCTCTGTACACAGAGATGGCCCTTGAACTTGAGGATGAAACTGATGTTCACCCACAGGCCCCACCATCCTACCAAGAGTCCATAGACGACCTGGAGGCCATAGACGACCTGGAGGCTACAGAAACATCTCGGGAGGCTGAGAGGCCAAGCCCAGTGTTGAACACAGGGGACACTCACCAGCACTCAGGACACACCTTTGTGGGAATCAGCTGCTAAGAAGAAAAGCAGGTCAGGGACTGGAGATGAAAAGCTCTGCCCCAGGGACCCTGAACGAGGGCTTACCATGCTGTGTGACTCCAGGGATGCAGCAGCAGTGTGACTTTAGCGATGGCTCAGCCATGAAAGGGCAGCGTGGTGACCCTGGCAGGTGTGTGGCCAGCACCAAACATTTTTTTTTTTTTGGTGGTACTGAAGGTTGAACTCAGTGCCTTATACTTGCTAGGCAGTCACTCTACTACTTGAGCCACTTCAGCCCTTTTCCTGTTGGTCATTTTTGAGATAGGAATTCACTTTATGTTAGGGCCAGGCTAAACAGCAATTTTTTTGTTTGTGCTTCCCCACATAGATGGGGATGACAGATTTGTGCCTCCATACCCAGCCATAGTTGAGACGGGATCTTGCAAACTCTTTGATGAGGCTGGCTTCAAACTGTGATCCTCCAGATAGATCTCAGCCTCCCAAGAAGCTAGAATTCCAGGCATGAGCCACCACACCCAGCTCCAAGCAGACATTACAGAGGATTCCACTAGTCCCATCCCAGGTGAGCCTTGGGACCACAAAGGTGGTATTGGGACAGCCTTGCTCAAGGGGAGGCTTCCTGTCTCACTTCACTCCCCTCTCATCATCACAGCCCAGACAGGGAGGAGCACATGCTGCTTGCTGGGACAGTCATGACATTCTGTAAGAATCACATCACACCTGTTGACATTACCAGAATGACTCAATAATTCACATCAAAGGAGATATCCTTAGGAAACAGTGAATGTTTTTTTACATTGTTTTATTTTAAGTATGTGTGTTTTTTTTCTGTATGAAAGGAAACTGACTGAAATACGTACCTTCAAAATGGTTTAAATGCGAAATATTAAGTGAGTTATTTTTCAAAGAGGTCCTCATACAAACTGATAGGATAAAATTTCTTATAGACTCAAATTGAATAAATAGAATATTTAATTCACAATGTACAACATTTTGGGGGGGGAATTTGTGCTAGTTGTGGGTTTGATTCCACTTTTTTTTTTTTTGGCACTTGCTAGGCAAGTGCTCTACCACTTGAGCCACTCCTCCAGCTATCTGTGGATTTGATAAAAGTCTTGTGAAGTTTTCAAATGTTTATATGTAATCCAAAGAATTCCCTTATAAATCTTAAGAATTTGAAAGATAGAAAATAAGGACATACCTTTATCCTTAAAGAAATTCTTTGAGTCTCAAGACAGAGCTCTTGACTTCTAGACTTGGGAGAATTGTTTTTTTAAGCACAATGACTCCTCCTGCATATTATTATATTTTATGGTATTTTTAATATAAGGATATTATATGGTATTTTTAATATAAGTGGTGGCAGGGTGCTGGAAAGACACACAGCCTAATGTTTTTTAACTTGGATGAGGATATTTACCTCTCTGGGCCTCAGTTTCCTTCTCTGCCATGTGAGGCATTCATGCTGGGATTATGGGATGCATTTTATATGGCCGCCTCTGTGCCATGAAATTTCTTAGTCTTCATTCTATACTTAAGAGGCAGGTGCTCCATTATTCTATTTTACAGATGCATAAAACTGAGGCTTTGAGAAGTTAAGAAACTTGTCTAGTAACACACAGTGGCTTCCAGGAAAACAAAGAATGGTCCATAGAACAATGTGACAGGATCTACTTTCTTCAAACTTTTGTGCTAGGCTAGCCTTGTTTCTCCTTCCCTCCTTCCAGGGAGTGGTTTGGATTTCTCTCCTCATTGAGAAAATGATCCTTAGCAGAACATGGCACTCCAGGTGGCTGCAGTTATCTTCAAGCCTTTGGAGAAGCAGCAGAGGTAACTTTAGGGCTAAATGGCTTCTCACTTAATGTAAAGAAGTCTGCTGTGTTTCTTACCTGAGCTGGGCCCTCACATACTAGTGCAGTTTTTCTGCATCTGGTCACTATTTGAGTGATGAAGGGCGTGTTCTTCACACACCCTGTGATTGGCACAGAGCCTTTGGACAATGGGAAGAAGGATGCAACCTTTGAAGGAAGGAAGATGGAATGGGGTCTCCGTGGCCTTCTCTTTCCCCCCACTGCTGAGTGCACAGGTTAAGTACATCATGACAAATACACCTGTCCATGGAGTACAAACTTGGGCATGTGATTTGAATCCTCAACAATGAGGGTACAACTAGGTATCAAGGTCACTCATGGCTGTCCAATATGAAGGTTATCATTTATTAACAATGCAATTTATTATTCCTTTTTTGTCATCTCTTTCTATTCTCTTCTGGGAATGTTTCCCTGAGCGTCTGAGCACATTTACTAGACTGAATAAGCAGTATCACTGGACTTTCACCCAAAGCTTGCATGTGTAATAGATGGTGTTTCCAACTTCTGGAAGTCAGGTGAAACAAATATTAATTTGGTTTGCATAAGAAATTGTTTTAATCTCTTTATGGCAATAAATTTTGTATTTAAACTTTCCTTTTTGCTATTTTTTGCATCAGAAAAAAATCAATAGAGGACCATAAGCCAGAGTATTATTCTCTATGTGAAACTAGCACAGTGTTAAGATGAGTTACTCTTTCTGTAAACCCAAACATTATTGATCACCAATGGTCGATTCAGAAAATAACCTGGGTGCTTCTTTTTGAAAAGGAATACCAACAAACACATGATTTTTAAAAACATGTGCTCTCTGACTCAAGTGTGAAGAACCTGGATAAGACTCAAAGCAAATCCTACATTTGAGAAGGCCAGCAATTAAAACCCACCAGACAAGTCAAACAAAAATGTCCTGGTGTGGCAGACAGTGATACATTGGTCATCCCTGGAGGATTCATTTAGGGGCAATAGATATTGTATCTCCTTTTCCTGCTCTATGAAAGGTGATGGATTGGGAACCATAATTCCATGAATTCTGGGGTGGGCACTTACCCTGAGAAAATGGAAATAGAAAGTCTCTACTACAGAGAATCTGTGCTCATTTCTTCTTGCTCACATGCAAACAGGGAAAGGAGTTTTTCAGAGCTGATGGTCCTCTAGTATTATAATGTCGTAATGTTCCTTTCAGCAGCAAGTCTAAATAATCACTACCACCACCCAAAAGATGAGGGTGGTAAGATCACTGATAAACTGTGCATATCTGGGATTACTGGACTCATTTTGATAACTCCATGCAAAAACTCCGCAAGTGTTTTCCCTGACATGCTTATTCACCCTTTAACACTTTATTTAAATAAATTGTCTTTGGTGAGGCATTACTTCAGCTCACCTACATTAGCACCTAGGTACTAAAAGATATGAAAAGATGATAAAGGCATGGATTTGCAATCATGTCTTTATTGTATTATATAAAGTTCCATGACAACCCAGGGTGGCTCACATACCAGGAGACTGTCAACTGCACGAGCTATTTCTGCTAGTAAGGACTCCAGCTGGTTGGAGTGGAGCAGGCATTCTGCTAAGCTCTGCCGCCTCAGATAATCTCTTGCTGTTTGTAGCTGCTGAAGGTCCAAACACTGATTCACTAGCACTTACATCATCTCCCAAGATGCACAGCTTCTCAGACCCTTCTGCATTCAGAACTGGCAATTTCCTCCAGGCGTGTGCCTTGGATCTCACTCTCCACCTGTTGTGAGAGGGCCCAGGACATGCTCCAGCAGTGGGACAGAGACTTCCTGCTGTGTCATTACCAGTTCCTGCAAGTGCTTTTTAAATTCCCCACACCTGCCATAACTAATGGATCTGGATGCCAAAATCTCATGGCTTATGCTGGCCCATGGGAAGCCAATCAGAAGTCACCATACCATTGATCTTATCTTGGCTCAGAAGAGCCAACACTCAGCACAAGGTGCCACCACGGGATTGTGTCTCCATCTGAGAATGTCTGTGCTGAAAGCATTCATGTCATGTCTAAGCCTTTTATCCTATAACATCACCCAACACTATTTGTCCCACAAATACTCTGGATGTACCCGGCACTTTGGATCAGGAAGATTTGATAAATGATCTCATTTTAATGATGGCTACTCATTTTTTATCATAGCTAAAACTCAAGAATCCTGGGTGATGCAAAGTGGCTAGGCTAACACCTGGCTGGGTATTTAAGCATACTTGGTCCTCTTCTACTAAATGCCTCCCTGGCACATGGTACATGGATGAGTGGGTAGACCCTAGTTGAGAACCAGTAGAATACATACATATATATATATATATATATATATATATGTATGTATATATACAGTACAGTATATATATATGTATATATATATATATACAGTGACTTGCCATTTTCTGGAGGCACTTGTAGTGGGGGAACCCCTCAGTGTTAGAAGATCACCAACTGTCTCTGATAGTCGTCACACTCTACCCCTCGTCTCGTCTATGATTCACCTTGGTGGCTCTCACAAAATTCTCAGCCCTCTCAAATCACTTACTCTTAAAGGGTGGTGGTTGGGACTTCATCTTTAAGATCACAAGGAACATTGCATGGGGAAGAGTGACTAGTATCCTGTCTTTCACTTATCCTGAGAATAAGGCAAAAGGACATACATGTAGAGTCCAGCAAGAAGTTTGGATATTACATAAGGCAGCAATGATACCTGACAATATGAATTTGAGCAGGATCCAGAGACTGGCTGGGTCCTAGAATCACTGGAAAACCTTCCCTTTGGCAACAGGCTGAAAAAAATCTCCGTAAATGGTGACTGTGCAGCTGGCTCCATCTGATTTTCACAACCCTGTGTCTGCTTCAATTGCTACCATACAAACCAACCTCTCACCCGACCCAAAGCCAGCTTCCTCTCACAAGTCCTAGCTCTCAACTAGTCTTGCTAGCTCTTGTTCCATTCTCCCTGATGAAATGACATAAATGCATATACATGGTTAAAAATATCCAGAAACTGTATGATTCAGAAAAACTCTCTAGGTCCCAGTGTTCCACCCCTCTGTGTATTCCCACAGATCATTGCTAGTGCCTCTACAATAATATTTATGTCTCCCTAATTATTTGCAAATGCTTGTCAAGCCTCCTGTTCCCAAATCGCAAATTCATAAGAGCAGGAATAATGTTTTATCCATCTTCTTGCTATACCTAAAACAAGTCTGCCTGCTGAATGCTTCTTATTGAATGAATGAATGAGCCGGTGAGTGAACTGATGGGTAAAATATATACTTGGGTTACTGGATACACATGATTTCAGATTTTAAAAAAAAGAAAGAGTGTGTTTAAGTAAAGACTAATTTACATTTGAACTTAAAAGTTAGAGGTGAGGCCAGGCACTGGTGGCTCATGCCTGTAATCCCAGCTACACAGGAGGCAGAGATAAGGAGGATTTGGGTTCAAAGCCAGCCCAGGAAAATAGTTTATGGGACCCTATCTCAAAAATACCCAGTGCAGAAAAGGGCTGGTGGAATGACTCAAGGTGTAGGTCCTGAGTTCAAACCCCAGTGTCAAAAAAACAAAAAAGTTAGAGGTGATTAAAAATTCAGCAACTTAAGAAAAAAACAAATATTTTTCTTAGAACTGATAAGCCTAAGAATGTGTCAGATTGTCCTGGCTAAGACATCCATAATGAATGGATGGACAGATGGTTAACAGAGACTTTTGAGTCGAGAGATAATAAGAACCACGGCCGTAAGGCAAATTTGAGTCCATTGGTGATATCCTTCATAACTGGTTCTTTATAATCTCAACTGGAAGCCAACTTCTTATTATTTTGAAATAAAGACTATTACAATGAAAAACTAGATACCATTTTCACTTTTGCTGACTCCCCAAGGCAATTTTGAGCAATTCATTTTTCTATTCCATGTAGTTAATAAATCCTCCAGGTCATCATAAAGAAAAACAGTCCTTGAAAGTATTCTGAAAGGCAGATTTGTCAGAATAGGTGACCACTACTGAAATTTCTCAAGTGACGAAATGAATGAGCTAAAAGCCACAATCCTTGAACAAGGTTAAAACACAGAATTTCTTTTTTATTAACTACTAAATGTCCCAGTAAGTTCTTGACAGAAGCACAGACAGAAAATGGAAACAAATACCTTGCTGGGAATGTTCCCTTGCTTGCATTGACCTTGACTACAGCAATAACACGTTGCTTAACAGTCAAAGTGTACTAGGTCATCTCTGCAAATGACATGATCACTGAGCATCTGTTCCCAAGGAAGCAAAACATATGCAAACACTTTGCATGACTGAGTCTTCTACAGTACAGATGAGCCTGCAAGAGCTGCAAGATCTCTTTTCCTCTGGGGCGAAGAAAGCCACTGTGACCCCCCTGCCTCTCCTCCTGTCATCCAGCGCATAACTGTCCCACTGGTAATATTTCCTTTTGGCATCCACTTCATTTCCTACTTTGACAGTATTTCACCCTCTCCGTTTTACAACCATTACAAATAAGATCAGAATTGCATCTAAACAAGTGCATGAAATAGGCCCTAGTAGGAAAGTTAGAGCGTGTGTTCACACGGTGTGTTTTTGTCTTCATGGGAGTAATTTATACAAACTCACATATCAACCTGTGTGATGTAATCAAGGAAGCTACCCAGTTCTAAGCATTCATTTGCTGTCTTGTACAGAAGATCATTCTCACACACACTCAAATGACACAACCGGCTTGATAGCTAAAGTAATACCGTTTATAAAATAAAAGAGAGTAAAACACCCTTGGATATGTCTTGTTGGGTCTGTGCCATTGTGATTTGTAGAAAGCTCTAGAAGGTGTGAGAGAAGGTGTTCAGGGAAGTTGGGAATTTGGGGAGTATGGTTGGTGAGAGTGAGGCGAGCTATGAGGCGTTCTAAAACCTTGTCCCATTGTGGGCCTGACCTGCCTGCCTAAGGCCCCTGTGGCTTAGGGTCAGCTTAATTCTGGCACTGCTCCCTTATGATTTTAGAACCTTTGCTCATGTGGCACCAGTGATATGCAGGAGCTGTGATTATCAGTTTCCCAGCCCACTTATTTTTTTCTCAAAAGAAGAGGCCCCTTAGTGTGATAAAATATAGATATCAAATAATAGTGTAGCTTCAACAGATAACTAAAGATCCTTTTGCATTTGGAGGAATTGGACAAGCCAAAACAAAACATTTTTTTCTCTTTTCCCAACCATCCTTTACCCACCCCACCCCACCCCACCCCCGCCCAACAGCAAAATAACTTTTGGTTTTCCAAAGTCATAAGAGGCACAAACAGGTAGCAAAAAGGCATGGTGAAGCATTTCCTGCTGCGTGCTCTCTGGCCCTGGCAAGCTGGCTTTCCTTCATTCAGGTGATGACAGTAGGCCCCCTCCGGCCAGTTCTCTCGTGAATCTGGGATATTTTCAGTGCGATGGCTATGAGAGGACTCAGCACTGCCTGGAAAAGGAAGAAGAAAGTTTGTGAACAACTTGAATCAGCTGCAGAATGGAGCCTGTGACTGAGTTCTAGCAGCATCAGAATTCAAATTCCAGGTTATGGCTTTCAGGCAGACGTGGAGGATAGGTTAGATATCCTCTCTGGACCTTTGCTGCTCTCCCCTTCAAAGCATGTTAGAGTGGGTAGGACAGAGAAGTAGTACAGAGCTATGATGATCAACAAAGTCTGACCCAGCTCCCAAAGAAATCTACCTAAGATGGGAAAGTGGTGTATGCATGGTGCATGCCTACAGTCACAGGCACTCAGGAGGCAGAGGCAGGAGGGCTGTGAGTTAGAGGCGAGCCTAGGCAAATTAAGTGAGACCCTATCTCAAAAATAAAATGCAAACAGAAGGGTTTGGGGCATGGAACAAGTAGTAGAATGCTTGCCTAGCATGTGTGAGATGTGTGAGGTCCTAGTTGAACTCCCAGTACTATTCAAAAAAAAAAAGAGTGCACAAGCCAATTACTTACACGAGAGTATAAACAGAGGATTATGAAGTAAGGAAGTTCAGTAAAACTCCAGCTGTCCCCCTTCCCAATCACATCCCCCTACTCTATAACCCTCACCCAATACAACTTGAGGAGAAAAGTCCATTTTCATCCTAAGACCCTCTGCCTAAAGAGCCTGTCATCCTGATGTTTCAGAGAAGACAGAAATTGCTAGTGTTGCAGAAGTAAATGGTATTTCCTCCTGTCTCACATTGCTGTGGCTCCTGACACACCTCCTTGCTCCCAAGGAGGCAGGAGTGGTTTAGAGGCCTGAGGAACACATAAGGTGAAGGACATAAAGGATCATTTCTTGCCATAAGCACACACCACCGGGGATGATTTTAGAAGGTACACAGATGTGGCATCACTTATGAAATTGTGAGAATGCCAGCTTATTTTCCATTCTTCTTCAATCCTTCTGATTTCACCAAGGAGAAACGCTTTGTTGCCAATCTTTAGCACTTTTAACCAAGACAGTGCATGCCTTTGGCAAGAATTACCTAACTGGAAGGTATTGTCACTCTATATATTTTTATTGAATTCCTTTTATGGTACACTTGTATTTATCCAATATCAGTTTTCCACAAAAAGCACTGTTATAAACTCTCTATAACAAATAAATAGATTGACATAAAAATAAAGTCAGTTCATTTAGAGACAATTCTAACATAGAGATATTGATTTAAAAAAAAAGGAGACTGGTCAATACTGGAGCAAGGGAGCAAGAAAAGATTCAATAATTCAGGAAAATAAAACCTGTGATAGAAATGGGGATTTTTTTTTTAATACAACCTCACCTGTTCTTAACAGATACAAATGCATTCCAAGTCAGATAGCAATAACACAAGCAAATGCACAGGGTACATGACAGCACAAGTGGCCCAGTGTGTCCTGAGTGGAGTGTAGACACAGAGGTATGCAAGCCAGCCTGGTTTGCAGGGAACTAAATGCTAGGGTGTTGTACACAGATTTAAGTCATTAGGGAAGATTGGAGTGCTTGGGGCTGAAAGGTAAGACCAACAGAGTTGTGCTTTGGAAAGACCGATCTGGTAGTACATCTGGTGATTTGACACATTTATGGCTAGTTCATAGAGTTAAATTGCAGTCTCACTAATGAATAAATAAGAAATAACTTCTTTTCATTGAAATAATGAAACTGAAATAATTTCAATGAAATAATCTCAATAACCAACATGAGTAAAAGCAAGTAGCTTCTTCTGCAAAAATTAAGTCGAATGTTTTAAAAAAGAATAGGGTAAGATTAGCCAATCTTGTCAAATTATATGTGAGTGAGATAGTATAACATATTGGTGAGAAATCAAGAAAGCATAGAATTTTTTCTTTGGATTGCTTCACAATTGTCTTTGAGTTTCTTCTTACTGTGCTACAAAGGGATAAAAGAAGGACATTATAGAGGATGAATTTTGGATAGGAATCTTTTGAATCAAAATACTAAACAGTATTCTCATATGCAAAGAGAAAGTGTTAGGCTAAAGGAAATGTTGGAAAATGCATATACATTTACATGTCTTATGTTGGAACTGCAATGATCAAGACAGATATGCCGTTAGTAACTTTTTCTAATTCCTTCTGCGTTAACGAGCCAAACACGTGTTCCTTGCCCTGATCGTATTCTGCTTCACCTTGGGCCCAAAGCAATGGCAAGCTTCTCTTGCAAACCAGAAGCCCTGGCTCCCCTGCTTTCACAAACACTCTGTCCCCCCAGCCTCCTCATCCTGGGTATTTCCCCTCATTGGCAGTACTTGCCCTCTAGGCTGGAGCACAGACCCTGGAGGGCAAAGACCACCAAGTCTTTCACATCATTTGGGAAGCATGTAGAAGAGAAACTATCACTGAAAACTAAATCAAATACATTTTTGCTAATAAAAATTAGCTGAAAAAATGCTAAACACTGCTGACCTGTTAATTAATCTCTATCATAATATATGAGCTCAATTCAAACGTTAATGCCCCCCTTCCCTTGTTTTTCTTTTTAAAGTACTGGGCATTGAACTCAAGGGCCCCACCACTTCAGCCATATGCCAGTCCTTTTGCTTTTAATTTGTTTTTCAGATAGGGTTTCACACTTTGCTCTGTCTGGCCTCAGACTATGATCCATCTACTTCCACCTCTCAAATGGCTGGGATTACAGTCGTGTGACACCATGCGTGGTTTGTTTTTGAGACAGGATCTCATTCATTTTTGCCTGGACTGGCCTCAAACCAATCCTCTTGTCTCTGCTTCCCAAATATCTGGGATTACAGGCACCCTCCACCATGCTCAGCCAACTTTAATCTATTTTTCATGTTATAAAACTATTTTGATCCAAAAACGGGACCCAAATTAACCAAAACTGGCAAATGAAAAATGCCTATGGATAAATTAGAATTCAGAGTCCAATGCTGAGAGAATCAATCTATCTTCTCAATAAAATAAAAGGCTGCCACAAAAACTCTCTTTTGAGGGGAAAAGCCTTTCCAAACAGAAGTGGATGAAATAGTCCTAAAGTGGTTCATCACAGCAAAAATTAGGTAGCATTTGGGGACTGCAGTGTCCCACCTGACAGAAACCACTTTGGCCAGGCAGGCTCCACCTCCTTTTCCACCAGTCTCCACTTTTGCAATTGATTTGGGTCTTTAGGAGGTGAGGAGTGGCAATGAGGTTGCAAATCAAAAGGAAAATAGAAGAGTCCTGAAGCCAACTTTCACATTTCTTCAAATATGAGCTTCATTTGGCTTCACATACAAACATCACCTGAGGGCATTGAAGCAGGAAGCAGACAAACTCACTGGTCAGCCTCTGTGGGCACAGCAGGAAGGTGTTAGGCAGAAGCTCTGTACCCTCTCAGCATCCTGATGCTCAAGGATGAAACAAAGTGCAAGCATTCCCATTTGAAATCTCACAGAAATGCTTCCCTGGTCACTGTTCTCCTCTCTCTCTCTTCTTCTTTCTGTGCCCACCATCTCATTCCTTCTTCCACCAAGAACAATGTGAAAGGATGGGGAATTACTAATTGGTTCAAAACCCCATGTCCCCCCAAATGTCCCTATCATGACTTCACATTTTTCTTCACTGGGTATATCCACAGCACACTTCAAAAGATTCTGTCATGTGGAATATTCTTGCAGTTTAATGAGAAATGAGCAAAATTGTTAGCAGAACCAGAACTGCAAAATTGAAAACAGAAGTTAAAAAAGTAAAAGGACTATGGTCTCTCCAGTTTGTGTTACTCAGAGGCCCCTCTCTGTTGCCTGCTCTTTCTTTGGTCCCTAGAAGACTTCTAAAGTCAAGATCTAGGTTATCAGTCCTTAGGGTCATTTAAAAAAATCTGGGTTCCTATGGTTATAACAATGATGCTGCTGAGCTTGGCTTTCTGCTTGTGGATCCAGGAGGTCTTCTTCCTTAAAGATGAAGTAAAGGCATCAACATGTCTCCCAAAGATTGCTCAGTAGTCTGCTAGCCAAGGACCAGCTGAGGATCACCTGAGGATACTGGCTGTGGGCTCAGAGATGGAATAGCCACAGACATGGAATATTCATGATCCTATGAACCCAGAAGGGATTGTGGGGCTCTGACAAGCTCTCAAGGTGATCTTCAGGCACAGCCAGATTTGGAAACCACTCTTGCTAAGCATGTGCTCTTTAGCCTAGGACAGGCAGAATAGGAAAGGGGTTACATGTATGGATTCTGGTGCCAAACTGCCTGGGATCAAAGCCTGGCTCTATCCCTCATGAGCCATGCAATCTGGGTAAATTACTTAACCTCTCGAAGCATTCATTTTGGTCAGTTGGAATAGGGAGCCCTTACCTCAGAGAGCAGGTGTGAGGACTAAATGAGCTGGTGAATAGGAAACAAAATAGTCCCTGGCACACAAGGTCGCTGCATAAGCATTTGCTATTTTCAGACAAACTAGTGGTTTGAACACTTGAACATCTTCATTGCAACGCATAAGGCTAGCTCAGGATATGCAAACTGGTAGTCTAATTGCTACTCAGTACACTCTCAGATCTCTTGTTTTAAATAAGATTAAAAATCAGTATATATATATATACATATATATTCAAGTGTCAAATGAGCGCCTTTAGAAAGCTCTCCAGTTCAAATCAACATTTTTTACTGTCATATGCTGTTACCCCTTTCCCTTCAGGTTTCTTATCCCCAGGGTTTGCCATGGGGACCATGCATTGCTGTCACCCTGGCCTCTTCATGGGAAGCAGGCTTCTGTAGCAGTGTGGTGAGTGTTAGGTATATCAGTGATATGGAGGTGCCCACCCCCAGGGCTGCTCCTGAAAGTGGCTTCATGGGGGGGCATATATCCCCCATGATGCTTCATATATCTTGAAGCATCTGAGCTTCAAGGTGACCTATAAGCAGCTCTTAGTCCTCCCCAACTGGAAGAATGCTCGTTTTAGATATGGTTTGAATTTGTCCCCCATGGTTCCCAGGTGGTGATGTTGGGAGATGGTGGGC